AATTATGAATTAATTATCTGATGAACGTGACATGCTCTTGCTCTCTTAAATAAAGCAAAGCCACTTCCTCGTCCGACATTAAACAGAGCCCGACAGAGGAGGGAGGGGCGGGGAGGCTCTGCTGTGCAGCGCAGCTGTCCTGCGTCTGACCTCAAAGTGCACAAGCTTCAAACTTCAGCGTTGGCTGCGATTTTTGAAGCTGAAATCGCGTTCGGTGTGAACGCACCATTACATGCAATTGTGTGGGATATAGCAAGTATAAAGCTAGCTAGCAACTCCACCTAGCTATCTAGGGTAGCAGTAGATATCACAGTCTGGTAAGTTCCAAGGATGTACCTGGTACTTACCGGCTATGTACTGGGATATATTTCATAATATCTATTAAGTATGTATTTGACACATATTGTATGTACCRGGTAAATATTGTAGGCACTAGGTGCATATTGTAAGTATATTTAAAATATATTTTAACATGGACTGAGCCATTTTATTTACACACAAAGCATTCTGGGTAAATGATGACATCATCTAGGTCATTGGTGTGAGGCTGCTAGCGAGCTATATCCACCCTGAAGGTTAATCTTGGACAATATCTGATGATCGACTCTTTTAAATGAAACCAGAGAGCGTTGACAGAGAGGAGAAGGTAGAAATGACTCAGCCTGTAACTGAAAATATGGATGGAGGACAACAGAGCTGCTTCATAGAAGAAGAACCTCAGCTTAGCCTGTTAGCCTTTGGGCTAGCGCCCACGCTATATTGCCTTATATGTATTAGCTCAGCGCTAGCGCGACAAACAAGCTAAACTGAGGTCCTCCATCCATATTTTCAGTTGCAGACTGAGTCATTTTTGCGTTCCCCTCTGTCATGTGGATGGAGGACCTCAGTGACGAGAAAAGTGTGTAGCACTGAGCTAATACATATATACTGTATTGTGATAGTGTTGGGGCTAACGCTAAAGCTAACAGGCTAAGCTAAGGTTGTTCTTCCATGAAGCAGCTCTGTTGTCCTCCATCYWTATTTTCAGTTACAGGCTGAGTCATTTCTACCTTCTCCTCTCTGTCAACGCTCTCTGGTTTCATTTAAAAGAGCCAATCATCAGATATTGTCCAAGATTAACCTTCAGGTGGATATAGCTCTCTAGGAGCATCGAACCGATGACCTAGTTGAGGTCATCATTTACCCAGAATGCTTTGCATGTAAATAAAATGGCCCCATCCATGTAATATATTTTTAGTTAAAAAAATTATAAAAACTGACCATCCTGCAGTATTTTTACAGTCTTTATTTTACAGTTAAAATATATGTTTATCATATAAAGTCTAATGTTAAAACTAATTGGGGATCCCTTAAAATAATATTTTATTTTTTGAGTTTCTGCGAATGAGAACAAATCTTTCCATTGCTTTTGATTCAACCTGCTTGTATTTCCACATCCTGGATGACTCCAGCATTTTAAATTCTATTTTAGTAAAAAATAAAAAAATAAATGTACTTGCTCGGCATACCATAATACTTAGCAGAGGAGAAGCGGTGGATTTAGCTACTCGGCTGGTGGCAGGTCATAGAAAGGAAGTGGAAATAGTCGGCCAAGCAAAATGTCTGTATGGAGCTGCAGTTAATGACCTCTGAGTGCGTCCTTGTCCCCGGGATGATGTGACCTGAGAGGGTACAGATTTAACTTTGTGCAACTCAGCACCTGACTCTTTGCAACAAACACATCCATGTTGGCAAAAAAAAAGATAAACTTGTGTTTAGACTCCGTTCAATGATTTTTTTGGTTTGAAAAGAAACTTAATTAGTTTGTTTTTGCAGTGAAAACTTTTACTTCTAATATAAGTATTTTTCATTGTTAGTTTTTTTTTATTGTAATAAAGGTAACAGGTTAAACTCTTTGTACTTTCAAAGATGACCGGATCAAAGAAGCCGGGTCCTCTTGTTTCATTGCTTTCATGCAGTCTGCACAGACAGGCCCACGCTGTGACTTCATTACAGATCTGACTTTTTTCCCCTGCTTTCTGGGGTATGTGATAATTAATATGTGTTATCTGATACAGCGTGATATAAAAGGATTAGAACACCTGTGAATAATCTCGCAGCTCGTGCTGTATTTGTCTTCGCAATTGTGTTCAGTTTGATGCTTTTTAAAATCAAAGCGTTTGGAGAACAGAAAAAAAAAAGAAAAAGGGAAAAAAGCGGTCTGATTTTATTTTTTTAAAATTCAGCCTCATAGAAATGTTGGAAAGCAAGCGCTGGATGGCCTTTATCGTCATTTTAATTTTGTCCCAGTTTCACGCCCACGCTCTCTCTTTGAGTTGGTGCTGGTTGCCATGCTCATAAGCCTGGGTGAAAGGAAAACATGGTGGAGTCGACACTAAGAAGATAAGTGACTAACATGCAGAGACAGATTGCCGTATTGGCTTAATTTGAGCAAGTCTGTGTGAGTCCTGGGTGGTTTTTTCTTTTTTTTTTCTTTTTTGTTAAACAATTATATTTGTTGGAACATACAAAGTCCATAAAGAAAAAAAACACTTCAGTCTTTCTTAAAAGGAATGTTCATATATAATGAAACGGGGTTCTGTTAGGTCGTATTCAGACCTGATAATATGCTCCGCTTTAAACGAACCAGAGTTCGTTTCCAGCGTTGGTCCGGACCTTTTCTGCAGGTGTGAATACACTCATGCGAACTCTGGTGCAGATCAAACAACCGGACCGAGACCCACTTTTTGAGGTGGTCTCGGTCCGCTTCCAAACGAACTCTGGTGCGGTTCACTTCAGTTCTCTTCTGGTGTGAATACAGACCAGACTCTAACCGAACCAACTGCATTAAACATGCACCTCTTTGGACTTCACAGGCCACCGTTGCTGAGCTAAATAAACTGAAATCATACCTGTTTCATCGTCTCCTGTTAGCAGCTCTGCTGGCAGCATGTAGTGGGTCAGAACATGCAGAGCACCTCGTCTCCTTTGGGTTGCGGGACACATTTACTGACGCCGCTCCAAAATTAGAATATCATCACAGAACCACCATTAAATTAGCTGCTTCTGACATTTTAAATGCTATTGCAGTTGTACTATCAGTAAAAATGTGCGCATCAGAACCGCAGCATGCAGGACTTCCTTGTTTTCTTCTGGATCTGTGGCTCAGTCCCGCCCCCGTCCTTATTTTGTCCAATGGGAGCAATGATCGTCACACTCGTGGCTTTATTTACAAGTTATAGTTCGTTTGCAAAAAAGCACAATGTGAATGCAAACCGCATCAAACGAAAAAAAAAGTCCATTTTTGGTCCGGACCAAACAATTGGACCAAAGGACTTTCCTGGTCTGAATACACCCTTAGATTACGACCAGTTAATAGCTCTTTTAACATCTGTTTGGAGAAACTGATAAATCAGATTGAAATGATGAGCTAACTGTCTCAAAGTTTTATTTTTATTGTTCTTCCATAATCTATTTTTAAAAATCTTAACTTTGTTGTCAGTTATGTATTATCTTGTTATTTTGGCGTAAATATTACATGTATCTGGTCACCTGCTGTAAAAGCGCTAAAGCTAGCTGTTGTTGCTGCCATCGGTGCTTGCAAATAACCTTAAAGATCTGTGTCAATAAGCACATGAAACAAAAATTATGGTGGTGTAACCATTGGTGAATTACCCCTAATTTACACTACTTGCATTCTGTCTCCGCTGCGCTGTGCTGCGCAGGTCGCAGCTGTGCCTTTCAAGTCCAGTTTACCAGGAAGGAGATGCGCGATAAATTCAGTGACAAGTGTGGAAGTCAGAGCAAAAAATAATTAATTCTGTGAAAGACGAACTCCAAACACAGCTGAAAACAACAATATAAAGGCTTTTGGTAACTATGTTGAAACTGTCTTGCTGTCGGCTTTCTGAAACTTCTGATTCCAAAATAAAATCCATGTGTGTCGTGTGTGTACACATATGCTTCGTGCTACGTTTCCATCAGCTTCCCAAACAGAACGATACATTCTGACAGCATTTGTGTAGAAATACATCCGTATATTTATTAATATAGCTGCAATTTTGACATTATTCCGACAAATTATCCAACCTAAAAGTGTCTTATTTTGAAAATACGGATGTTGTGCTCGTTTCTTTTCCTGTTGGTGCGACGTAATCTATAAAAATTGACTCAGGCGCTGCTCCGGTGTCCGGCAAAAATAGGATCTGTTTAAATTTTGACGGATCGCCGTCCGCTCACCGCCGCCGTGCGCAGCCAGTGTAAACACTCTCATTGATTATAATGGGTGCGTGTTTGCTGTGGAGATGGAACGCAAGTAGTATAAATTAGGGGTTAGTGTTGGTACTAGAAAGTTGTTTAAACTGGAGGAGGTGCTCTAGATTGGTGCTATCTTGCTTTGGTCTTTGTCTGGCCTAATTTGGTTATACAAAGACCAGTTAGACTAGTCAGTTAGACTTTTTTTCTCCAAACGTGTTGCTCGAAGAGCTTTCTGTTTACAACTCGTGCAAAAAATAAGATCTGAACCCTCATTTCTCAAACTGTGGTACAAATACCACTACACAGGATTTGACTTGAATTATCAAAGGTTTTCGGCTGTTTAAAAGTCAGCAATGTAGGAGTTGCTTCCACATTGTTCACTAGCACTAGAAAACATTTGACCTTAGTAGGTCAAAGGCCGCCTTCTAGAATGATGCCAAACCATCACAAGTCAAATCAAAAGTCAGAGGTCTTCCACACTGAAACATTTTATTGCAAAGGTTTATTGTTTCAGGCTTGTATACACCTCAGAATTGTAGCTTCTGAGGCTCCAGAGTAAAAAAGTCTTGAAACTTTACCATTCTGTTTTTCTGTAAAGATTTTGTGATATTTTCTTGGGAACATGAAAATACCACAAAAAGACCTGGTGTAATTACTGGTGGTACATAAAGCCACATTGCAAAAAGTCTGAGAACCATTGCCTTAATTTGACCTGGACTCCTTTTTGTTGCCATAATAAAAACACTGGTGGTCTCTCTTGTCAGGTCGCACCATCATTTTGTCAACCCACCATATGGACGAGGCAGACATCTTAGGGGATCGCATTGCCATCATCTCCCACGGCAAGCTGCGTTGCTGTGGCTCCTCCCTTTTCTTGAAGAAGTGCTTTGGTAGCGGCTATTATCTAACTCTGGTCAGGAGCGGAACTGAAAAGATGGCAAATCAGCGGCAGAATGTTACTCAGAAACATGCCTTCGAGGAAGAAACGGTAAGCACAAGTGGTTTTTGGTTACTTATTTAGGTTTAGGTTGATTGATTCTGTACAACCACTGGTCAAATCAGGTCAAATGCTCTCCAGTGTTCAGTCATCATCATCATTTTACTTGTGTTGTAACTAACATTTAACCATCCATTCATTGGTTTTAAACCACTTATCCAAGATAAGCGTTCCTCTTCTCAGCAACACTTTCCACTTCCTTCCCAATGTGTTCCCAAACCTCAGCAGATTCTGGAGTCCCATACCACCTTAGCTGCCTTGTTTTGATGAAAGAGGGAGACGTTCTCCAATAAGACGTTTAACCATTTTTCAGCTGCTTGTGTCCARGATGTTAATCTTTCAGTCATGATCATAGGAACGTAGTTGGACCAGGAAATTTGCCACAATTGAGACTGACCTTTAGCTGCTCCCTGCAGCTGAAGCCCCAATTCCTCAGTCCATCTTCCACTTACGACCAAGACACAAAGATACTTGACCTCTTTTGCATGAGGAAGAGGATATCATCATCTCAGGCTCAAGAATGGGAAGCAACTTACATGTATTTTAGTCTTAAATTCCCTTATTCCTGGTCCTCGAGGGCCGCTATCCTACTTAATTTCCTAATTTCCCTCTGGGATCAATAAAGTATTTTTGAATTGAATTGAATTTGAATCCTGCATCTTCTTTGTTGTTTCCCTGCTATAACATACCTGATTCCGTGATTGAATCACCTCTTCAAGTTCTGCAGATGCTTGTTAATTACCTGTTTATTCAAGTCAGGTGTGTTGGAGCAGAGAAACAAGTAAAACATACAGGATTAGAGGCCCTCAAGGACCAGGATTGTCTACCCCTGACCTAGACAATGGTTGTTTTGTGCTGAACTGAAGATATCGGTATGAACAGGCATCAAGAAGACAACCTGGGAGAGATCAGCTCCCATTGAGCTTTTCCTTTTTCTTTTTCTTTTTCTTTTAATAAACAACTTCTAAAAAATCTTTGGGCGTTGTGTCTAAAATAAGCTTAAATAGGATCTGAAGGTTTAAGTTTTGTAGATACTGATAGAATATTTGTCCAACCTATKCAGTCCTTCGCCACATGTTCTGTCACAGGCTCACCTCTCTGCCCCTCCATGAATGCACACAGGGTTTTTTTCTTTTTGAGCAATTACATAGAAACTTGTTGATGGTGGTTATTTGATTAACGTTTGACAGGAGTCATCAGGGARGCAGTGCTCATTATTCTAAGTGGTAAGGTATGATAAAGCTTTTCTAATCCAATTCTGATTAACAGGAGAGAGACTGTCCTTCCAGGAGCAGTCTAGATGATGGCTTTGGCAGTCAAACCTGGGACAACTCGGATCCGACAGGTACAGATTAAACTTACATACATTTATTAAGTAAACTGACACTAATACAGACAGTTTAAACAAACAAAAAAAAAACCCATCTATTTGTGCATTTCTACATTTTCCGTAACTCCATCAGTCATTCTTCTTCAACCTTATGAATGCAGTTGTAGGTATTTTATAACAAATGACTTAATTTATGTGCCAAAGCAGCGCATAGCAATTTATTGACATGACATTTATTTGTTTTTATTGAGTTAAAATGAGTTGGATTTTATTTGGATTGAATTACACAATAAGTTTGTAGTCAAATTATTGCTAAATTAAAAAAAAAACTAAAGTGAATTAAGCTAAATTGAATTATATTTAATGGGGATATAAGTTATAAAGTCATTCTATCTGCATCAGACTGAAACCACCAACCGTGTCAGGCAGTGTTTTTGTGTTTTTCATGCATTTTCTGCTTTTCTTAGCGTCTTAGATTTTCAAACATAACATTTAGTAAGAAATGTCTAATTTTTTTGCTCACCAAAATAAGTGAACTTATTTTTGTAATAATAAACAAATAGTGAAAGTTTAATGTCCTGATGCATCTCAGTAATCCAGGTAAAAAATCTAAAAGAAAAAATTGTATAGGTCCTCTGGACGGGTTCTTCTCTAATGAAACGTTTCGTCTCTCCTCCAAGAGACTTCTTCAGTCTGAGAGTTTCAGGCAGAATTCAAACCAGTGGTTATTCCGTATGTTGCGGGTGTTTTGGAGAAACTGAGATGTTTATTTTCTAAACATGATGTCTCAGTG